GGCAGGGCCGGGCTGTCCCTCGGGAGCGGCTGTGGAGCTTTCCTGGTCCCCTCCCCGCGGGAAGGCGGCACCCAGAGCCCGATAAGGGAGAGCYGCCGGCGCCCGTGGAGCTCCCAAGGTCCCTGCGGCGCTTTGGGACGGCGCCTTCAGGTTCGCCTTTCATCCCGGCCCCGCTCCGCGCTCTTCTTCCTCCGCTTCCCCCTCCATCCCTGCCGGGGAACCTCCCCTCCCTCTGCAACGCTCAGCTGGGGAAACTGAGGCAGGAAGTGAAGCAAACCACGCTGTTCCCAAGGGGAGGCAGTGGCACCCAGCCTTCCAAATTTGGGTGAATCCGCCCATGTGCCACCCCCGGAGCTGCGGAACCACCCAGGGAGTCCTCACCGGGCCGGGATCCTGCCCTGGCCGCGCTCGCAGCTCCGCGGATCAATCACAAAATTACAATTTACCCCCGGGATTGCAGCTCCTTCCCTCGAGAAGCCGGAGCTGGCACAGCCGGACCCTGAGCGAGGGCGCAGCGCCTTCCTGAACCCCACCGAGCCGGAATCGGGGCGGCTCGGACACCCCGCGGAGCTTCTGGCTCAGGAGGCCCCGAAATTGCGGGATTTTCCCGATATTTCCAGCCTGTTCCTAAAGATCGTGCGGGGACAGAGGTGGCGGCTGGGTCCCTGCCCTCGGGGCAGCTCTGCCGTGCGTGACGGGAAGGAAAAATCCAGCGGGAAGGGAGACACAGCCCCAGGTCACCGGAGAGGGGTTGAAACGCCCCACGGCCGCTCTTTGCCCCCCGCCACCCCCGCGGACAGCGCGGTGAGCGGAGCCGCCGAGAGGAGGATTTCAAACTCTGTCTCTCAAACTCTCCCAATCTCAAACTCTCCCGATCTCAAACTCTCCCGATCTCAAACTCTCCCGATCTCAAACTCTCCGTCTCCCAAACTTTCTGTCTCTCAAACTCCCGTTCTCTCAAACCCTCTCTCTCAAACTCTCTGTCTCTCAAATTCTGTCTCTCAAATTCCCCATCTCTCAAACTCTCCGTCTTTCAAATTCTCCGTCTCCCAAACTCTCCGTCTCTCAAACTCTCTGGATTTCAAACCCTCTGCCTCTCAAACTCTCTCGCTTAAACTCTTCATCTCCCAAACTCTCCATCTCTCAAACTCTCCCTCTCTCAAACTCTCCCTCTCTCAAACTCTCCCTCTCTCAAACTCTCCCTCTCTCAAACTCTCCATCTCCCAAACTCTCCCGATCTCAAACTTTCTGTCTCTCAAACTCTCCATCTCCCAAACTCTCTCTCTCAAATTCCGTGTCTCTCAAACTTTCCATCTCTCAAATTCCCCATCTCTCAAACTTTCCATCTCTCAAATTCCCCATCTCTCAAACTCTCAGTCTCTCAAACTCTCAGTCTCTCAAACTCCCCGTCTCTCAAACTTTCTCTCTCAACCCCTCTCCTGCCTTTCCCTCTTCTCCGGCAGCTCCGAGAGCGCCCCGCCAGCTCTGTTTACCGGAGCAAAGTCCACTCTCTTGGCTGCCGGCGGCGTCTCCCTGCTCTGCCCGGCCCCAGCCGGTGCCCGCGGCTCCACCGGGCATTTCGGGGACACCGGAGCCGCCGGTTGCCTGGTTATATCCACAAAACATCCCCGTGGGGCCGGGGTATCCGCTTTCGGAGAGGGGAACAGCTGAATCTCCTCACTCCCCACCCAGCCCTTGGCAGATCTTCACAAAACCCAGCCCGGTTGTCATTGTCCCCTCCAGGCCCTACAAGGGTTGYTGGAGGCAGCCCGAGAGATCTGCAGGTTTCTCCCTTTGGCAGTGGCAGCTCGAGATGGATATTTATACACCCAACTTGTGCGAATTAACAGCATTCCTGTCCGATTGAGTCAAAAAGAGAGGCGCTTAAAAAAAAAAAAAAAAAAAAAAAAAAAAAAAAAAAAAAAAAAAAAAAAAAAAAAAAAGGGTAAAATCTCCCTTTTCCTTTTAAAGCTCTGTTCCCCGAGGATGGAAGTGTGGTGTTATTTTAGAGATGATTTCTGCAGCCCCGCGGTCAGCGAGCCGTGGGCAAGGTGACAGTGACRRTGACGGTGATGGTGACGGTGACAGGGTGGCACCAGGCGATGTCACACGCTGTGGTGCCCGCCGCTGGGTGGTTTTGGGGCACGTAAAACAGAAACTTCCTGAGAGGGCAACGCCGACTTCCTGAGCAGGGCAGGAGCGGGCTGAGGTAGGATCGGGGGGCGACACCAMCAGAGGGGGACCCCGGGTCAAAATGGCAAAATTTACCTGAAATGTGTGTTTTATAGAAATATTTGTTGGCGATGTGATGGAAAAGGTGGGTTTAGGATCCACGGGGGGGGAGAATTGGGGTGGGCACTGTGGGTGGGCAGAGATGGGAAAACACAGTGGGTGAGGGCGGTGGCACTGCTGGACACCCGGGAGTGTCACCAGGGTCACCACGGCCACCAGGGCCACCACGGCCACCTTGTCCATGCCCAAACCGCAGGGAAAAGGGCGGCAGGGAYCGGTTACGGGCGGAAGAGGAAG